CTCTTAAGCAAGATCAAAGACAAATCATTTGTCTTATTCACACACTTGCTTCCGTTACCAGAGCACTCACGTCTCTCTTGAATAGAAAAGCTGCTGCAATTTGCTTTTCTCTGTAAACGGCTAACCCTAGACAAATCTACTTCAACCCCTTTTATATTCGTAGGGTAAGTAAATCTTCTAAGTTGCCTTCTTTGATTCTCACGTATTTGATATCTTTTCTTCCTTATCTGAATAGATCCTTCCTTTTCTTCCTAAGTTGCATAATCCACGTCAACTTCTTTTTGCCACGTAAGGTTGTATCTTGTTACAACAAAAGCTCCTCTTTCAAAATCCCCACAAACCCATGATTCTAATGCAGATGATACATCGATTTATATAAAGGGTTTCGCTTTCTTTGTCGGATTGTAAACAACAAAACGCAAAACAGAGGAATCCGATAACACAATTTGAAGCCAAAAATCACAGATTCGTCGGATTGAAAGAGATCGAGAGAGAGTGACAGAAAACTGAATTTGTTAAAGCCGTACAAATCATTGATTATTATATTTTATATTAATTGTTCACATTTTATTTTTGTCTAAATTTTTTTATCTTAATTTGCTATGTCTTTTCATTTTTGAATTATAATAATTAAAATCCACAACTTAAAATCAAACGTTTATCAATCAAATTATCTACAACAAAAAAATTACAATAAAAGTCTATCCAAGATATTGCACTACGTTAACAAAATGAGTGATTTAAATGATTTATTGAAAATAAATTCAAAACTTTTAACACGGATCAAAAATATTTATGTGCTAATATAAGTATTTTGAATATGTATATGGTGATTTATTTATGAAAATATCATATATTGTGGCATTATTCAACATTTTATTAATTAATAAATTTCCCATAAATATTTAGTATAATGATTTGTGTGAGTTTTGTCGGTATATTAGTATCAAGATTTAAATCTCACATAATTTATATATTTTAATAAAAAAATATATATATTTAAGATAACAATCAAAGTTTCTATAGTTTTGTTACCAATTAGGTTTGAAAAAAAAAAATAACAACCACAATTTTTACAGCCTTTTTTTCTACGGTCTAAAATCACATTCCTTCCCAATCGGCCCTAAAACTCAACAAAAGAGTAAAGACAAAGACTTTGAAATGGCAATGCAATTCAAATGAATACTTATCAAAGGCTTCACTTTGTTCTCTAATCTTCTTGAAGCTGCAACTACAAATCAAAAAAAAAAATCTTCAGACTTTTTTCAATCCAGTAATACCAAATTTCGGCATAATAGAACAAATCGGAGAATCTGAGACGCCTTCTCAATGAAATTTCGTATGCCGTCCATCGCGGCCGCAGCCATAGCCTGTTCCGACACGTGTGTCTTGTCTTGTGAGTTATACGCTGCGTTTCGATGCAGCTAGAAGACTTGCGTGCCGTTTAGGAAAGCAAAAATGTATGTGGTTCGCAGTCTTACGAAGAGAAAGGTGTGGCGTTT